TCCTCCTCCTTCTTCTTCTTCTTTACCACAAATTGAACTCAGGTCCTTGTGCTTGTGAGGCAGGCACCAGAACCACTGAGCTAAATCCCCAGCCCCAGCTTCCACACGTTGGTTTACAACGTGTGGAAAATACTCAGCATGGTTCTTGGGACATCATAAGCCTCTCTCTGGTCCTTAATCAGACAGAAAATCACATTTCCTCATGTCTTTCTTCTTGGGAAGCTACCTCACTTTATGCCAAGGTGTATGGGCGGCAAATTTAGCCTAAGATGGAACATTTACTGACCATGCCAGACCAGAGACATTTTGTCACTGGTGTTTATGTTGCCCAGCATTCTCAGAACTCACTTATTGCGAGTGGTCCTGGGATGAGTGCCTTACAGGGTAGAAGAGTGACTTGGAGTCATCTAACCAGATGTTCTCTCCAAGGATTCAGAATCTTGAGCAACTGACTGAGAAGGCTGAACTGTGGAACAGAATTTCCTTGCTACTAGACATCTTTTGTGGTAACTGGTGCTTCCAAATTTGACCCTGTAGCCCCTTGTTTGTTCCATGCACCCTGACTCTTTCTCATATATTCTATCGTAGTTGAAGGAAATCAGAGTTAAATTTCTGTCACTTGCTACCAAGCATGCTGGCTATTACCTACTTTGCATGACACACTGTGCATATTGAAGCTAATATGACCCGGTCCTTTCCTGGCTCACTCTGCTGGCAGCCTTGCAGAGGCACAGACAATGTTCCTTAGGTACCTGGTTATATGGTGTCCTTCCTCCTTCACTCTCCTAAAAAGGCAACATCTGATTAGAACTGGAATGAGGCAGAGGGGCAGAAAAATAATGACTGAAAACTGATACTTGATTTCTGTCCATACTACGACCCCATTCTAGAGACCAGAGACCATAGCAAGCTCAATCTTAGGGGCCTATTTAGAAGCCTAGCTAATTAATGACTATAAAAGCAGTTTGGACTCTGCAAGCCTTTTATAATGTGTCTCATTTAGACATAATGGGCTCAAGATTGCCTCTAGCATTCTCAGGAAAATTAAAAATCCAGTAGGTAGTGGAATTGCCGCTACGTGATTTTCCTATTACTTTTATTTTTATTATGATTGCAAATAGCAACATTACTAATGGTACCTTGGACAAGGATGCCTTACCAAGGAAGGTTTTGCTGTACACAGCATGATTTATTGGTTCTCTAGCCAGCAGCATGCTGGCTCTTCTACATGATGTCATTAAACACTCACCAGATATTGGGGAGGTGGGGGGCTCCTGAACATGTGGAGTCCTTCCTTGCATGTGACCGCTACAAACAATGACACGGTTCATTACCCTGCAGACTCAATAGAGTCTTGCCTGGTATTTTGGTAACCCTTGGCTCTGGACAGGCAGGTGTCTGGCAAGGTGAAATGGACAAAATTTGGTATTCTGGAAGCCTGGATTAGCACGGAATACGGAAAAGATGTCAGCATATAAACCGCATGATTAAGAGTGGTTAATAACCACTATCCAGGTTGCTGCACCTGGATATATTGCTGCAAATAACCAAAATACCTCTACCAAGTTTAAAGCAAAAAGAAGAGAAAATGTTTTTTAATGCTACTGAAATATTCTTATCATCCCCATAAGGGCAAAAGAATGATGATCAGGGATTATATTGCCAGGAATAAGATCCAAACCACAATATGTCAACAAAGACAACTGCTACCACTATGTTTTGCGCACACTTCAGTTTAACTGTTTTAAATACCACCTTTGAGGGGCTTCAAGGGGTTTCAGGGCTG